TGCAAACATACCAAATTTCTGTTCGCCACAAGCGAACATTGCTCTCAGCTACGTTGAACTCTCTCCCTGCTTTCATTGCCATTTTTCAGCATAAAGAATTACTTTACGTTTGAAAGTAGCGTCATGTGACTTCTTCTCTGTTTGCCCTCCATTTCGTGACTATACTGCATTTGTATCCTCTATGCAAAAGGTCAACGATAATTTACGTACGTAGTTTGAGAAATTTGGGTTACGTCATCGGCGAACTTTGCACTCGAATCTAATGCACACCCCAATTTTGAATACTACATTTGGCCAAAAACGATGCGCACTAGATTCGCGTAAATACGGTAGATGGTTTTCAGCTTTTTCAGCTAACAACCAATACCGTCTTCTTAATTGTTCGGTCCATGTTGCACTTTAATAAAACAGTAACTTATTCCTTCAATTTCTTAAACCAGCTGAAGTTTTACTTTTAAATATTAATGAGTGTTTTGGCAATTTGGTAACACAGTTCAGATTCATCTGTATTATAAATTTGAGTACTTGTGTTTTTGACTTGAATCTATGCTAAACTCAAGTTTTGTGTTAATATAATATAGCAGCTCAAGAAAATCCTCTTTTACCCAGTTATCAAGCTACATGATGATATGCTTCTTCCTTCTCACCATGCAATCTTTGAAGAATAATGTTGGATTTTTCTTTCTTCAGCTTATGAGTCATATGTCAGTTGATATAAAATGTTCTCTTATAATCTGGCAAATTAGCATAGCAGGTCTAGAAACAAACATTTTTTTAGCTTTACAGCTTGAAACCATTCTAAAAAAGCAATTTTAAAACATCCTGATTTCTCTCTTTCACACTTCCTTGAGAAAATTGCATTTTATTAGTTTTTCATTATATAGTTTCTTGTTTAACCCTTTGGCCTATAACCAAAAGTCTGACTCATGGTAAAGAATTTTTGCCATAAACAAAAGTCACGAGTCTGACTCGTAAAGAATTTGTGTTATAAACAAAAGCCAGGAGTCTTGACTCGCGGTGAGGAATTTGTGCATAAAATGCCGCTTATTATTATTAGAACAAGCGATTGAAGTTATTCTATATCAAATATTTTTCCTTTGACTGTAACATCAATTTTTTTTTTTCAGTTGTTTCTGACGAAACTGGATGATCTGTTGTTACTTTAGTTCCCTGTAAAGCTTCATTACATTCACACGTTTCAAATATAATTTCATATAAAGAATTAAAAACTCTTATACCCATCCTACAATTACTTTTGTCAACTGATCATTACTATTGTTCCTAAACATTGGTTATTATTTCATAATTCATTTCGTTACACTGAAATATATATGTCATGAAAAGTATACATTTAGCACCAGTTCGGGTACACGGCTGAATAGTTGAATGGCATGACGCGCAACTGACTTTCTTGTTTACTATAGCTCGCACAATTGGCAGATATCGTGTACGACAAGGGGGTTAAATAAATCACACAATGTAGTTTGGAGAATTCCCAGTTTTGACACAAGTTTTTTTTTTTTTTTTTTTTCCTAGTTGCAATTACCAAGAACTTTAGAAACTTTTAAAAGCTTATGATTCTTTCAGGCTGCAGTTGTTTTACTAGGCATTTCAACAAATTACAACTTAAGCATACAATTTTTTTAAATTTTTAAACTTTTATTTAAATTTGTTTTAAGATAAAATAATAAATACTTGAATAAACCACTTCCTCCAGTGACTATCCAAATTTCAAAATTTACATTTCTAGCCAGCACCACTTCATGATTGTAAGCATGACTACTATTTCCTTAACCTTTTTGAGATGACGTGCCTTTGTTTAAGACGTTCCCTTAAAACGAATGTCAATTGCAAGGAATAGTAGGACGGGGTTTTTACGTCACCAAGCGTAACTTTAGAAGAAAATTACAATAGAAGTTTATGTCCCAGCGTCATAATTTTTGGTATGATTTCAGATTATTACTTAAGGTATTACTTAAGGTATCATAAATCAGGATTTGATAATCTTTTTCCTTTACATGAAAGAAATTATTTTCAGAAGCGCTATTCAAATTATTCTCAAGTTTTAATTGATAAAATACATTAATAAACTTTTAAATTAATAAAAAATACAAGAAAGATTATTTCCAAGAAGTAAATACAGAACGTAAGACAGACAGTGAGCTCAAGTCTGACACAATGTCCATATGAGAATCACTAGAATTCTAACTCTTTAGAAAATGAATCATCACTCTCATTCATGTCACTAAGTAGCTCATTAACCATCTGAGTATATCCTTCGTCTGATAAACAATACTTGCTTGCCATAATAAGCTTTCCAAAATTCAAAGGAAAGTACACAAAATATATGAGATAAAAGAAATGCAAAGCATAATAGAACCCCCATATAATAACCCTAAAAGACACTACATAGTAGCAAAAAAGAATAAAAAAAGGATTTGAAAGGATAATCAAAAAACGTAAATGTTTAAACAGCAGAGCTTTTGTTTAGATTACGGTCTCCCCTTGCAAAAGCTGACACCAATGTTACGCAGAACATGATCAAACTGAAGGTCAGGATCCTAAAACTATATTCAGTTCAAAAGTAATGGTCACAGGACACCATATCGTGGTCTTAAATATTCCAGGACATTGATACAAATGTGCGAGAGGCGAACAAGAAAATGCTCTGGCACAGCAGCATGACAGATGGGAAATGAGTGTGTTTCTTACTAGCATATATGCATGACAGTCGGCATGAAAGAGTTAATCTACAGGTACCACTTCCTTTCCCGTCAGACTTTATATACTGCTCAAAATTACTCTGTGAATCTTTTTATAACTCTCTGTGAATACAATTTATATCTCAAGCACAAGATTTTGAAAGTAGAAACCTTAAGATAGAATGCAGAAGGTGCACTTTCACTTTGTATCAGCTGGTAATTGAGAAGGAACTCTCAGCTCATTTATAACAATTCTAGATAACTGTTTTTGTTATCCTTAAGATAAGGAAATTCTGCCACTCTGAAATTTAAAGAAGATAAAGAACTCTGAAAACAGCTTCTCAGAGGACTGGGGTGTAGGAAAATTTCAGTCACATCTGTTTTATCTGTGCACTACACACCTGACAGATAAAGCAGCAGTACATTAAATGGATAAACTACAAAAAGGTTTTTGATAGGCACAAGAAGGATGTTCTGGCACAAAGTATCAATCTTTTGCCAATCTGAATATAACAATAAACAGTGTTTTTTTCTATTGATTAATATGCACATGTTGTGGTTCTTGAAAATATGATAACAAGAGGCTGAATTCATTAACCCCTTAACTGCCATGCCCTTTCAAATTGCTATCATTTGCTTTGCGCTGCTACCAGTAAAATTATTCCCAAAGCTTTGGAATGCAACACTACAATGAACTTGACAGAGTATGCAAAAGAGGATACTATTTCAGAGAAGGGGGATGTTTCTGAAACGATGAAAGCAATGACAGCCTAGTTATTGGTCATGTTTGTTTGGTAAAAATTTTTTTTTTTTTTTTTTTTTTTTTTTTTATTATGTTTCTTCTGTTTTCGTTTACTGTTTTTTTTTACGAATATGTATGACAGTGAAATATATGATTACTTTCCGTCATCTTCAGGATCGGACACCTCAGAATATGTTATTACGTCAGATGATGGAGATTGTGACTATTCTCCGAAGGATGCTCAATGTTGGGTATGACTTAATATGAAAAAAAAAAAAAAAAAAATGCCTCCACACTTTCCATTTAGGTATACTGATTTAACAAGGTTTATAACACAAACCGGAAATTACACTTTACTGGTTTAAAATAAATTGATCAAAACCACACTTTTGGGATGTCTTATATTAATCTTTATTACTACACAAACATCATTTTTATTAAACTTACATCTTTATTAAATTTTAATTTTTTCTTTATTTTGTGAAAGCAGGTTTTAGACAGCAAAACTTGCACTTATTTCCCCCCTAATACATCACATTAACTACATGTGCCTGTGTAAAAAAAAAAAAAAAAAAAGAAGTGTCACTGGGAAGTGAATCTTGTACATTTTCTGTGGCAGTTAAGGGGTTAATAACTACAATAAGCTGCAGGTACTACACATATGCACGGTTGCCAACCTTGAAATATAAAAATAAGGAATTTCAACAAGGTTACACCATTTCAAAAGAACTCTAAAATGATATACATCCACTCCATTATGCATTACTCAGAATACTGACTACTTATGCATTTTTTATGTAAAAATATTAGCATTTAATTAGATATTCTAAATGTTATGTTGTTGGGGTTATTTAATTTTGTAAGTTTTTAATAATTTTATACAGAGGAATTATGTAGGGAAAGAAAGCTTTTATTTATTTATCCAAGCGCTTTTAAGTACAAAAAATATAATTACTTAATGTACATATAATACAAAAAATATAATTACTTAATGCACATTGTACTGTGTGGATAAACTTGATAATGTAGTATATACTCAGATGAAGTTAAATTAAATACAAATATTGCCTATAGCAGATTAACAGTCTGAAAGTTAATTTGCTAAATCTTATGTAGCCACAGCAGCGCAACACTGTAAGATATGTCGACAACTCCTCGTTGCTGCAACAGAGTGCTGCTGTAGCAGAATTGTAAGGTAAGTTGATAATTGTGTTGTCCATGCAAATATCACATGGGAAATTGTTCAGAGTACAAAGGAATAATTCAGATCAAATAAAATCTGATAAGAACCATTAAACAAGAAATAACCAATACACTAAGGAATAGAATCTGATCGTTTCAATAAATTTCTAGAAACATTTCTCTTAGTACACAGCTAAAAATCAGGAAGTAGGAAAGAAGTGATGAAAAATCAGGACTAAAACTGGGAATATTGATAGCTATGAACGTATACGATGAGATAATACATAAAAATAAATCAATGAAATAAAAGATCTATTAAATACATGGTCTTATCTAAGAGAATATATATAACACAAAATCTATAAAAGAATTACCTTTCTGTCTATTTTCCATTTCTTCTTGCATCTGCTTAATCTTCTCAGCATATTCCTGCTGTTTTTTCTCTGCTTGTTCTCGAGCTTCCATTTCCCGACGAAGTTTCTCACTTTGAAAAAAAAAAAAAAAAAAAAAAAGTCACATTAATCAAATTTCCATTATCTTTTCTACTGAAGTATAAATATAGAGCATTCTACGATTTGACTTACAAATATTTTTTCATGTCAGTTGTTAACATTTTTATAAATTAAACAGCACTTTTCAAATGATTTTAAGTTTTAAACAGGTTTTATTGCACATTACACCTATACGAACATCACATTTTAAATCTGAAAATTAAGCCCACTTGAATGAAGTAAAGCATACCGATTTTTGTATTAACCAATTTTTCAAGGTCACCAAATTTTAGCTTCACCAAGATTTCTAATATTCCACAATATTTGTAATTAATAAGCTAAATAATGACTTATGAAAATTCTATCATTAAATTTATGCAACAAACATTTTTTATAATGGGCTAATTAACAAGAAACATACTAAGAAATTGAAACATTTTTCAGTTTCAATGAAAAATTTTTTCAAATTAATATTGATTGTTATGCTTATTTTTTTTTAATAAAATTTCACTTTTATTTGATCCTTGCATGCATAACAGGACAAAGATAAAGGGAGTTTCATTCACAAAAACACAATTTAATATCCAAATTCCCATATAAATTTTAGTACCGTTCTTGTTGCTTGGCCAACTTTTCTTCTCTAGCTTGAGCTTTCATTTGTTGAACTTCTATAGTATCAGGTTTTCTACGCCTCATATATAACTCATGATTACCCATGCACAATGACAATATCCTCTTATTGATCCTGAGACGAGGTGCAAAAAACACAAAATCCTAAAATTTATAGAGAGAACTAAGTTTAAAATATTAAAGAATCTAATGCATCAATTATACAGTTACAACAAATTAGGCAAATTCATTAAGCAAAATATTTCATAAAATAAAATGAAATTATCTTTTAAGCCACAGCAAATATGAGATACATAACCCATTTAGCCCAAGCCTATATTTTGATTCGAATTCCGCGAACGGGCTGGCTGCATGGGCGTTTTTCGTGGTTTTCCCCATGTGTAACATGTATACGAGCCAGTTTCCCTTAAAAAGTTCTCCATGAAGGCATCCCTTCCCTTAGGCAGATAGCCCTAGCGTGCTTTGCCGTATTCTCAATACACCAATACCTATATTTTGAACTGAGATTATCTAACTATATTTTGAACTTGAGATTAAAACAATATTACAAAATTTTTACTTAACTTACAGGTGCTTTTTTATCAATGGGTTTTATTACAAATTTCTTGTCATTAAAAGAAATATTTCTTATTTCACTCCATGGGAAACCAATCTTTGGAGTCAACCTAAAAGAAAAAATAGACTTTAAAAGAATGAAGCTACACATTAATTCTTCATAAACAAACATTATGAAAATTAAATCAGCATATCTTATAACAATTAATTTGCGCACGAATACTTTTACATAAGGCACGAACTCTTATCATCTTACAGCTTAAAATATAATTAAACCGCATCACTACCTACTTAACAATAAGACTTTTATGTTATTTACAATAGTATTGCATAGTAAAAATGTCTCTTTATATCTATGAATGTGACAAACAGAAAAGCTTATCTATGTAACAATTCATTTAAAAATCCAAAGAATTTCAGAAAAAATTCTGAAAAGATTTATTTTGGATCCCTTACATTATATCAAATTGTTTATTAAATGATATACATTCACTAGAACAAAAGGGAACTGTTTTCAGCAAATAATCATGGTGATATAATTTAAATTCTATATCACACTCACATATTTTCCCCTTCTTTAACTAATACAACTGCATGAAAATCAAAAGGAGAAAATTATGTGAAAAATCTATTCCCAAAGAAAGCAGTTACAGTAAAAAACAAATGAAAAGTAGTCAAGGATTAAACTACTCATAATTACGACTTTTATTTAAAAGAAACCTACATTCAGCTTACCATCATCACCCTACAGTGTGATCTTCCCATATGCAACAATCTTTGGAAGAATCAAAAGCATTAGATATCCCTGTTTTATTGAAACATTTGGCTATTGCTAACCTCATCAATCAGAGCCCGTGCACCCAAAATCCATGAGCAAATAAATAAGCAAGACCGAGAACAACCACTATATGAGTGAATGAATCCATTTTAAAATTTAGGCAGCTCACTTTCCAAATGGTTTGAAGAAAATAAATAATAATAAATTTTAAAACGTTTCACAGCCTTGTGCTAAAAAAACGGTAAGGAGGTAAAATGCGGTAGGGAAAATATGCATTCAACAATCCTTTAAAATGACACTCAAAGGAATTTGGCACGAATTTTCCCCCTCCCCTCCCAAGACAACTTCAGAATGAAGTCTAATTTTACATCAACTTAGCCTTAATTCTGAAGTACATGCCAGGGTAAAGAACTGAAAGATTTTCATTAATATACACACATAACATATACTGCCTATCTGAATAAAAATGCAAAAATATGTTTATTTCTAAATATTATAACAATAAATTTTATTGTTTCAAGCTCTAACAGAAGTTGCATAATTCGTTTTAAAAAACCTGACTCATAAAACCAAACTATCTCACATGATCTAAACATGCATCCATATTATAACTTTATTATCAATTCCTATATGCTTAAGAAATTATGTTATCAAAATTTCCTTTTATGAAAAGTGACAAGCATTTGGCATTTGTTAGGAATGGCCAAACCCCTCAATCATTTAGCTGTCTTACAACTGAAAGCACTGGCAGAAGATATTACTTCTCACACACACAAGCCACTAAGCCTTTGCAAGATTTTAACCTGCAGCATAAAGTTCAGACTAACAGTTAACCTACATTAATTACTATACTGTGTTGGAAGAAGCAGATGAAGCTGTATTTTTGGGGGGTGAAGAGGGGTTAAAATTTTGAATTGTTTTACAATTAGATTTCTGAATAATGGTATGATGAAAAAATTCACGTCATTCAAAAAAAAAAAAAAAAATCTACAATGATCAAGAAAAGGAAAAAAAACATATCAGAAGCTTTATTGTAAATAAAGACACAGTCTACACAGCTGAATAAGTTATGAGTTTGGTGCTGATATATTCTGAATTCCAGAGCAGATTATACAGAACTATACTGTTAATTGGAATATTTCATTAAAAGATTAGTAAATCATATTTTAATAAATAATAAATTAGTGCTCCATTATTTTAAGCCCTATAATATGTTCCACAAAACTTAAAACCCTTGATATTTGGAACAATGCTTTTAAAATAGACTTCATTATAATTATACAAGTCTTACCATTTCAAAGTGCTTATCTGCACAACTTAAATTTACATATTCTTGAAAAATATTTCTAATTAAAAGTCCTGCTTGCAATTGAAAAAAAGCAGCCATTTGTTTTAAAGAAAATTTTCTGCCAAATAATAATGCAACTGTCAAGCAAAAGAAACATTTTATAACTTGGTTTATATATCACTGGCTGTTAGTGATACATATAATTTACATATGCATTAAAAATAACTGATTTTCGGAAGAAAGTTTCAGAATACTGAAAAAAAGAGACAGTAAATTCACAATGTTTATATTCAGTCTGAAAAAGTAAAATTAATTTTTTAAGTTAGACTAATAGAGATTTCGAACAGAGGAATAGAGATATGTATTTTTCTCTATGTGCGCAATGTACAGAATACTGATATGTCTCCAGGACTATTACTGTTTCAAAATGGGCATTAAACGGTGGTATGCTATACAAAATTTCTCACACACCCGAATTTTCTGATGAATCTGCCTAAATAAGTGCACAAAGTTTGAGAATGGTTGAAAAATTGCACAAACGGCTGCTCATCTTTCAATAAACAGTTGTGTAGTGTTCTACAGATTATTCTTCTACGTAGGCTATTCAGAAAGTAAGGAATGTTTCCGTCTGACGTCGCTAGGCGTGCACAGTTCACATATATTTTGGTGTCTGCGTGCTCGGCATCTCAGTCGACGTCCAGCCATCACAACGGGAACATTTCCACGCTGCCAGTTTTTTCGATATTCAAATTTAAAATGTGCGTTGCAATTGAAAATCCCGCCAATTGTAAGGCGCTCTGTGATACGGTTTTTGTTGGCAAAAAACCTATGGAAATTTACCGGCAAGTGTGTGAAATGTATAGAAACAACATAATGAATGAAAGTTCAATCCGGAAATTGTGCATTCAGTTTAAAAATGGCCAAACTAATGTTCATAATGAAGAGAAGAGTGGACGCCCTAGCACTGTGACTGACGAACTAGTCGCTAAAGTTGACAAAAAGATTTGTGAAAACCGCTGTTTCACAATAACGGAGCTTTGCACTTAGTTTTCCACAGGTTTCACAGGACTTTGTTGTTTGAATATTGCCACACAAAAGCTAGGCTACCTGCAAATTTAGTGCAAGATGGGTGCCGAAATTGCTTACAGACCACCATAAAGGTCAGCGAATGGGGGCAACTTTGACATTTCTGGAGGCCTATGACAGACATGGTGATTCATTACTGGATCGAATCGTAACTGGTGATGAGACGTTGGTGAGAAAAAATTACAGTCCATGCAGTGGGGGCACACAAAGACCAAGAAAATGTTTGCAAACCTTGTCACCAAAGATTATGATGACTGTATTTTGGGATAGGCAAGGAGTGCTTCTGATTGATTTTCTCGAATGTGGTGCCACAATAAACTCCGAGCGGTACTGTCAAACTTTGCGCAACCTTAGGAGAGCAGTTTAAAACAAGCGCCGAGGAAAGTTGACGTCCAAAATTTTGTTTTTGCACGACAATGCCAGACCTCACACGGCAAACCACACTCAAGAACTCCTTAATTCATTCAAATGGGAGGTTTTTCCTTATCCACCCTATAGTTCCGATCTTGAACCATAGTGATTTTCGCTTGTTTGCCAAAAAATGAAGAAGCTGGACTAGCCAACACAGCTCTTTGACGACAAGGAGCTGCCGCTGTGCGTCAATGAATGGCTGAGATCGCAGGTGAAAGAATTCTATGACGAAAGAATTTCAAAGCTTGTCCACCGCTATGATAAGTGCCTCAATTTGTTTGGTGACTATGTAGAAAACTAGAATTTTATTCGTTCTTTCTGATGAATATAATAATTTTTTTTTCCCTTGTACTTAGTTTCTTTTTAATTCCAAAACGTTCCTTACTTTCTGAATATCCCTCGTAAATAAGGAAATATCTTCTCAGCAAAACAATCTACCTTACATACTTTCATGCACAACAAACCACTGAACAACAGCATTCTCATGAACTATCATTTTATTTACAAAAACTTATTCGAACCCCTTCCTAACCAATATCCTACTATCTTTAGAATATCATACATACTCAAATGAGTAGTTAAACTATCAGCCACTCACCTTACACTCTTTATATATCATGCAGATTCTTACTGTCTTGCTTCCGACGGGGCCATTCAAATCCATCAATTTGTCAGTTTCTTTCACATAATCACATACTATTTTCATAATTTGAACATTCATATTTAGTTATGTTTAACAAAACTTTTCTTCCCCTGTATCTGCTAAAGAGTAAAAGTACTTAGACATTCATTCTTTGATAACCAGCCTTTTCACAACTGGATTCAGAATTAAGACCTACAGAAAACAAAAAAGCATGGCCACTTCACATTATATATTTAATGCACATGAACGATAACAATCAGCAGCCAAATTCAACTTTTAAACATCTCTCCTTCCGAAATGCCCCCTGAAAAACCCCGCAATTCACTAATTCGCCAATACCATCATCATACTCAACCCTTCCCGGTCAACTAAAATTCCCAAGCTCAAAAGTCTACACTAATTAGTGCATGTGTATGAACATACCCATCTCTCTCAAGGAGCTTCAAATGCTCCTAGAATTATAAAGGCTGGCAGCCTTAGCATGCTCATCTACCTAAAAATATTTTGTCACAAATCAGCTGGCTTAACAGGTTTTCTAAATTATCTTCTCTGACATCCTTTTATTACATATGCATGTACATTTGTGGGTCATCATTCATAATATTTAGATCTCAGACATAAATTCAAAAAACTAAAAAGTATTAAACTTAAAGAGTGACAACATACATAATAGTCACAAGTACAAGTTTTAAATATAATCTTAAAACATTTCCCTGTATTTTTCAATAAATATTACAGATGATTTAACATATTGAATGTAATTAAAACTCAAATATTCTTGAAAAAATAAATAAAATTACTTGTCATCTTTCTCATAAATATTCAAACCCAAAGCATCTACACCTAGCCACAGATCTGTTCCTTTCTTATTTTTGATTTCAAAATAATTAACACCATACATCTCGAGATCTTGAGCTATTTTCAAGTATTCCATCATAGCATCTTCCCTAAAAATTAAAAAAAAAAGCAAATCAAACCCTTTTGAAAAAAATAACTTTCACTAATTACAGTATATGCATAATAAAGAAAGCATAATAAAATGATATTAAAAAGTAACTACCGAGGCATTCCTTTATGCTCAGCCCACCAATTCATTATTCTTTCTTCCCACTGTTCTTTTGTTAATTTATGTTGGTCCATCACTCTAAAATATAAATAAAAATTCAATAATATGCAGATAGTACATTCAATAGATATGTAAATAGTAGATTCAAAACCTTAAAAAACTGCACTTCTATCTTTAAAAAAGCAGTAAATAATTATCCGTTAACAATAAAATATGACACATTAAATTAGGCTTGCATTTATGCATATTAAATTTATTTCCTTCTAATTAAAAAAACCCTTATCCCTGAAAAATCTTATTTAAGAAACAAATATAATGCATCATATTCATGATAAAGAAAAAACACTAATTTTTGTATTTCGTTCGCCTGCATGCAATTAAAGTGCAAAAATAAGTAAAATGATTTAAAGATTTGATAAAACTGAAAATATCCACCTGTAACTTGAGTATTCATGAAATACCAATGCATTTTCAATATTTGGAATACCCTTTCTATTCCAGCATTTGCAGTGAAACCTCCCATTCACTTTTTTCAAAATGCATGCTTTATTATACCATCTCTTTTAGATAAACCAGACAAAAAAAACCGGCATGCAAATATCTCGTGACCTTGAGACCATAAATCTTGAAAATTCAGGCAGCTGCCAAAAAGCTCTCCAAGGAACATGCATTCATTAACTTCATAGTGTAATGAGCAACACCATACGACAAGGCTGTTTCTACTGTCAATGTAAATCCCTCACACAAACTACCCCGACTTTGTTTTCCTCAGTAAACAAAGTCAGGGTAATGAAAATGTTTACAGTGAAGAAAAATTACCAGCAGAACTTGATTTAACATTTAAATATCCTCAGCAAGAAATATTTCAATTAAAAAAATTACCTGTATTTCTCAATGAACACATTCAACAATTCACAAATAATTAATATCTTTCATTTCAGTACTTTCATTACTTACATTAATGAATTGCTTCTAATGAATACATCAGGGTACGTTCTTTGCAACTACACACTCACATAATCATACAAATACCTTCGGAACTGTTCTTATAAAAATGACATATTGTAATTTTCACAAGTGACATTTTACTACATAATACATGCTTTACTGTTAATGCTTTTCATATCACTAACCCCAGAGACACTACTGCCTTTAAGAAGCTTTATGTTGTCACCTAGAATCTAGTTCATTTTGGCACTATCTAGTTCACTTAGTATGCATGATTCCACATTTTCTATAATAAAGATACTAGATATATATGCGATAAGATGATGGTAATTTTAGATTTTATACATCACCTTAAAAAAAGGGGAACTAGCCCATTCAATTATCAAAATTAATTCTTACAGTAATAATAAATGTTTATCATAAATATCGTTTCACAGTATTAACTGTCCTCACTCTTGTGCATTATCAGAAACTAAGAATTTGTTTATTTAAACACAGAACAGATAATTTAGTATACACAGACTGACTATGCAATTAGAAAAAGATCTACAGCCAACAAGATACTTCTAAAAAGACTATTAGAACTTCATTCCCTTTAACAATTCATATTGGACTGCAGAGGGAAATAAATGGCATCTAAAGAAATAACCTCAAGGCATTTCTATGTATAACCCGAGAGAATAGGTATGGCAATTTCAGAAAAGTTATTACCTATATTACATTAATATAGACTCAAGTCTAAGTAATTAATCATAAATACCTTTGAGGAAGTAATCTATCATTTGCTAAACAACCAGGTTTGTGAATTTCTGCATTATAATCTCCATGTTTTGCTTGAACTGCATAAGAAGCTAAAAGCACAGATGTTTCAGGTGGACAATATATTTCATCACTAAGTTTAGCATTTCTAACTTGAAGATAAAACAGGCGCTGCATCAAAGAAGACATTCAATAAATTTGATATAAATAACTATATAAAGTCAAAAATTATATTAACAAATAAATTCTCATACATGCAGAAAAATATCTTTCAAAATTCTCATTTTTGTACTATGCACACCAGTTAAACAAAAACTGAGACAATACTGAAAGAAGAAAATTACCAATATTTAAAAAATGAAAATATGTTTATAGTGCAGAAAAATTACCAGCAGAACTTGATTTAACATTTAAATATCCTCAGCAAGAAATATTTTAACTGCTATAGTTATAAATGTAGATGTTAATTTATAAATAAAAAAGTTTCTTTAATTCACAACTAACCACTTTTCTAAAAATTCTCATTAGTTCAAATTTCGTCTTTTAGCAGAAAATATTTGAAAATTTTATTTAAAGAATTATTCATTCTTTATTCTACCTATTGATATTTCACTATGCACTATATATTCTGATAGCAGCACTAAGAAATGACAATGTTTTTTTAAAACAATATAAAGCTTATATAAAAAATTCCATCCCTTTCTGTTCATCATTAACATGCTTATAGTTTCCGACAATACACATTTTCTTCCTTAATTTTTTTATTTATTAAATTCTTTGGCATATAAATGCTAGATATCAGATGTCTGATATTGCCAAAGAGTTGACTTAATTGAGGCTTACGAGTTGCTCATGATCCTGCGACTCCAAAAATGAGACTCTTAAAAATTACAGTACTTATATTTTAGAAGCTTAATTATTTTGAAACAGATGTTGAAGAGGTATGCTTCATTATCAATCAAATACTAATTTTTTTAAATTTCTCTTATGTATTTAATAAATAAATCGAATTTATATCCAACCCCTCAAAAAAAGGCAAATCCGAATTACTACCATGGCTATGCGACTTGTAAAAAAACATGTTCACTGAGGCAGCCTACGGCCAACTGGAAGAACATGGCCTGGTTAGCTACAGAGTGACATCATGGAAGGCATCTGAGTCTTCTGCGACTTTGCTTCAGGTTTGAATATACACATTTCATTAAATGTTTAGATTCTTTTGTTTTAAATAATGCATAGTAATAGACTTATGGAAAACCGTATATAAAGCGTCATTTATTCATTTACAATTATGCCCGACAGCTTAACAAGTTTTATTTTAAGAAATATACATGAAATTTTCTATCGAATGTTTTATGATATTTTGTACAATTATTTTTATACTGCATAGTAATGACTTCAAACTTACTGTTGATTTCACTGATCTCAAATTTTGGAGGTTTAATTTTGCAGATGTGAAGAAAAGGAATGAAAAGAATCGAAAGTATAAATAATTAACTTACAAAATATAAACACCATTTAACTAATTAAAAGATATGAAAACTATTTTTTATTATCACAATATAATTATTTATTAATATAATTATTGCTGTTTTTAATTTTAAGAATAACTTGAATGAACTGATCAGTAATATATTCAATGCTTTAAAACTATAAATACTTCAGAACTTTAAAAAGTATGCAAATGTGTTAATTCATTTCAGTTATCTGACAAAAAGAACACAAAATAAAAAGTCGTAGAAAAATTAAAATTTACTAAAATCCTCTAGGCATTTACCAACATAAATTAAATAAAGCATAATTCTGTGCAACATTACAGCAAGTGAATTATTACTAATGCAACAATATCTTTATTATATGAATAAATGAATATCTTTATGATAAAGAAGAAATTTTAAAAGAATGAACACGTGTTGCTTCAATAATTTCAGGATTCTCAGGAAAGCCAATTATTTTTTTTTTTTTTTTTCCTATCTATGTCACCTTTTTCACTTGAACTTCATCAATATATAAACTCACGAATTGTTTATGTTTCAATTACCTTACCTTTTACATACTTGCAATTAGCTTCATTGTTCGTTGATTCATCAAAGCTTTAGCACGCCTAGGAGTTTTCAGAAATGGTCAATGATTGGAAGGCAGATTAGTTGAGTGTCAGAGGCAACTATAACAAGCAGCTTACTTAATGTATAACAATTAGATTTAGTTTATTATGACAAAACACACAAGGGCTGTTAGAGGGATGCCTCCGCGGAGGACTTTCAAAGGGAAACCAGCTTGTATGCACATGGGAAACATCACGAAAATGCACCCGCGGCCAGCCCCTTCGCCTAGAATAACCCAGATCGGAACTACCAGTGTTCAGCAACTTTACTGCTCGGTGGCTCGTGGTATAATATATAACAAATATGTAAAGACCTTCTAGCCATTTTACTTTCATTACACATCTTCATTTATTCCAAAATAAAATGTTCTATTCCTCAAGTAAGGTTCTTACATGCTTTTGATTCAATGCATGCTTCTAGTTTTATACCGATAAGTCACAGTTTGTTATGTTTTTCATTCCTATTCTTTTGACATAACTATAAATGTTTTAAAATCCAATCCATAAAGTAAGTTTAGTATTTCCATTTAATATATTTTTAAATACTCCCATTTTAACAGTTTCTTTGTCCAAGAAACACTGCTGTATTCATATGAATTAATACATAGATACTTTTCCTAATTTTAGACTGTAGATTAAAACTGAGCAATAAAATATAAATTTCCATCAGCAGATTTTATGTGAAATTAAATCTGAATCATCCGAAATGTTTAGTTTATTCCGCAATAAAGAAGAAAAATCCTCAAAAGCTGCAATTTTGTCCTTTTTCAAAAATTCATTAAAAATATGTCTATCCATTAAGCTAATTTTCCCTCTGCGCTCATCCTTGGAGATGTCGGATTCTCAGATAACTATTTTGAACAACCAGAAAAATGCATGGATAGGCATCGTTTATAATTTAGCATGTCCTTTACAAACTTTTAACCCATTCAGGATCAGCGTCGTGTATACGCGACGCAACAATTCCACTTCTACCAGCCCAGCGTCGTCCTGTATACGCGACAACGATTCTGCTCCTACGAGCCCAGCGTCCCATACATGCGACATTAAAACAGAATGATTTATTTGAATTTTCAAAAGCCAGTAAATGGAGCTAAGTGGTAATCGTTTTCACATAGGTTGATTCATACGGCATTTGACCTTCATATACTGCCATTAGTTTCTGTTTTGTGCTTCTGGTTTTGAGAGATTTATTGAAATAAACAAACTGGAAATCGTAGTTCTTTGTGTGCCTGTGAATTAAAGAGGAACAGGCGTTTTTGTTAATTTTGTGAGGATTTTAGTTTTTTTTTTTTTTTTTTTTTTCTTTTTTATTTTGCAACTCAACATAAGCTTTCTTGGTTAGTTAAAAAGTAACATTACATTATTACAGAAGGGGAAAGACTATCAGCTTTCTCGGTGCGGAATGAGTCTTTCTCACATTTCTCAAGAAAAAGCCAGCATTTTTGTTTTTCTCACTCGATTCAATAGGTCATTATATATAATGACACAGGCATTATAGTTTGATATATAATGTATAGATTGACGTGATTAGCAAAGGATATCCCGCCAGTGGGTGTTTTTTCTTGATCACTTTCTGGTCATCGTAGGCACTGTTTTCGATTTAGAAAAACAGAAAGTTATCTAATATAAACCTGATGTCACACAGGGTTTGAGGATGAAATATTTCTGAGTGTCTTTTGAAGAAGTTTTAGGACATGTGTTAGGGTTATATTCAGTTTCATTCTGTTAGCCATGGCTAAGAGACCTTACTTAAAAACTTAAAAATTTGTCCAAAATCACTGGACACTCCACCTTTCTGTCTAACTGGAAGACAGTTTCCAAAAATTTATGTTGAAGGAAAAGATGGGAGATGATGCATTGTGTGCGCTAAAACCAAGGAAAAGCGAAAGCAAGCAACGAATTTTAAGCGTGAAATATGCAATGTAGGACTGTGTTTTGATCCTTGTTTTGAATTATTTTACAAACTGCACAATTTTTAAATTGGAATTTAATTACCTACAAGTATTTTTGTTTATTTTTTTTATTTCTTATTTGTAATTTTTTTCATGCTTATAGTACTTATTTCTATGTGTATAGTAATGATTTTAGTATTTTGCCTGTTTATTTTTTTTAATGTGATATTCTTTATATTAATACACAATAAAAACAAGTACATTAAATACATAACTTCAAAAATTGAAGTCAGAATAGAATAGTTTTACTAAATTTATCTAAATGCTGGTTTTATATATATATATATATATTTATATATATTCTAAAATTAAGCTTAGCCGCTGAAAATGCACGGGCCGGTGGCGACGATCCATTTCAACACACCCGGTCCTGTGACTGCGCTTCGTTCTCCCGATGCTGGTCCTTAAGGGTTTAAATAATAGTGCCTTCGTTTTTCAATAAATAATCGTACCGAATGATGTCATCTCAAAAATATTTCTCACATGAATTTGGAATTTTTTTATCCAGAAATCCCATTTTAATATATCTTTTGGAAACCTGTATATATCCATCAGTTTTATTGTAATTTGATTTCCAGCCTGGAACACAACATCATGCAGGCAAGAAAGTAGACTTAACTCATTTTAGCTCTACATAAAAGTCGATAGCTATATTTATTAACAAATAATAAAGAAATAAGTAAACTTAACTAATCAATGTGAACTTGAAAAGCAAAACAGCATAACTACTTAAATTTAGTAATAAAAATACATGAATAATGAAAAATACTGCAACATTTTTGAACAACACACTAACTAGGAATTCTTTGATTAGAGTGTCCACAGTGCTGTGCAAAGAGTGAAAGTTTAGATGGCTTTTGCGACGTCAAATCACGTGACTTTGAAGCTGACCAGGCCATCTAAATTCACGAAGGTCACGGGCATCCCAAAAGGCAAACAGAAATGTTAATTACTACTTTTATTGTCCTAAAATAGCCTCATTGACAGCTGAAAAAATTTCTTTTAAGGAGAAACTCTCCACACAAATATCCTTTCAATTTGGGAATAATTTGCAGCTCGGTTGATTCCTTTATAGACTTTATTAAGAATGAAGTAAAGCTTCCTGCATACACAAATCTTCATTAAGCAATGCAAGTGCTTTCTACAGTTCTAGACAGTTCAGCAACCATTCGCATGCTATCACTTTTTTTTTCTGAATATAGCTCTATATTAAGATTCTTTGGCAATCCTAAGCAGAGATATCATTTACTTCACTTATGTTCGAGCCTGCTGAAATTTTTGAGGTCATAAAAAGAATGTCTGCACTGGACCGATAATGATTTCAATTCTGATTCAGCACCTAAACCACATCTGTTCAACAATGATTGTTTGAGACCGAAAGCTTTCATCATAAAATCATTTTAACATTGGCATCAAGTGTGATAAACCCAACACAATTCCACAATGATTTACAAAGATTTCTTTTCTAAAAGCTTCTGTCAAAATATTGCTGCAGTTAGTTGCTTATGATTTACACATTTCTCAATGTTTTTGTTCCTATCTAGCTGGCCATAACTGTATGCTTCCTTCATTTGTTGGTTTGGCTTTCCTGGGATTCAGATAACATATGCCTGGCCCACCATTCATGAAAGCCAGTAACATAAGATTGTACACCTTGTACTACTGCCCAATCACGCACTACAAAATTCAGTTGAAAGGATCATTGGCCACCAGTGCTATATATCAATTCTTATCAAACATTAGTATTACTTCCAATTTTTAGTTGTCTTTCCCAAATTACATGAAGTTATATCAGGAGATATAAAAATCAAACAAAATAATTTTGAAACTAAGATTTAATTGCATATATTCTCACAACTTACCACAGTTATGTCCTGAATTAATTCTTCAGCAACATCTTCAGGATAAAATTTGGCACGGAACTTGAATTGCAAAGGATTCTCTTTCTTAACATCCTGGTTTAGCACCTAAAATAATAGAAAGCATAATGCAGATACGCTATGACATATGATTTAAGTATATACACTGTTCGTATACATTTTTGCACATGGAAATTAAGGACCATTAACGACAAAAATTAAGGGCCCGTTAACAAATGAAAACTAAATAAATTCAATTAAAGATATTAGCTAAGCCTGAACTTCACTTTTGTGATAGCACCTAAGAATAAAATAGATCCACAGGAAGAATGCATTATCATTAAACATACTTTAATAAAAAAATAGTTATATAATGAATTTGAGAATAAAATCAACTTTATAAAACTTAGCAGGTAGCATTAAATATTTTACTCTTACAATAGCTGGACATACTTGAAAGATTACTGACATTTTATTTATGTTTTACTAGCAGTTAGCTTCGCTGATTTTTTTCTTTTTATGCCTCATTTTATCACGTAGTTGCTCAGTTTAGAGGTTTAATATATAGCAGGTAAATTTTATGTCAAACGGCATAGGTTAAAATGAGAAGTAAAATCATAATCAGCATGATTCGTTACATAAGAATGGCTGTTGCCCCAACTACTGCTTGCCTAGACAGATGCCGACTGATCAGAACACACCTGAAAGCCTGATGTAGGCACGATTGGCAAGCTTTGAAAGTTAGTTGTGCTTTGCCTATCTGACACAGTTATAATCTTGTAACTTCGTAAGATTCACAGATTCATTCATGTAGAGTTCCTGGGGTTGGAACCCAGTTAATATATTTTAAAGTTCCAATAAGCCACTAAAGCACCAGCGGCAATAAGTTGTTTTGTATCATGTCTCACTAGATGTGAAGAATTAAGTTTTACATTTTTGTGCTGTATCTTGTGACCACAGTAAAGATTAATTAAAGACAATAACTCACTTTAATTTGCAGAGATAACTTTTAAAAATGACCAATTAGTTACAATTAAACTAGCTAGTTAGATACCCTCAGTCACTATAGATTTACATATCCACTATTAAAATCATAATCTATTAACACATTGCTGCTTAAAATGCATGTAATTTTTGACATTGATTCTTATATAAAGATAACTACAACATATTAAAAGCTACAAAACATTTACATTTTGTAGCAACAATATTATTTTGCTTTAAGCATCTTTTCTAACTATCAATCAATATGAAAACCAATATTCCCACTAGTTTCTGCTAGCCTGTCAATCTCTTGACTATATATATACCTTTGAAGTTTTACTTGATCTGATAAAAGATAAGTAGTCCAACCCCCCCCCAGACAGATGTGAAGCAAATTATCGCTTTGACTGAAAGTAACTACACAGTCAGATTAAAGGTTTAAATAAACCTCTTATTTAAAAAGACAAATTATAAATATAAAGTTATGGTCTTATGCTAGCAAAATCAACAGCTTATGGTGATCGAATTAAAAAGAAAGTCAAACTAAGAATGTGGATTAGTACTCAAAGACTACACAATTTAATTTTAATCTAAGCTGGCTCAGTAACACGTAACAAATCTGCAACTTGGCCTAACATAGTTGTCGCGTAACCAATTCAAATATCGGCAGCGATACGCAAAGACAAATGAATAATCACAAATTACCACAGCTGGTAGAAACTAATATAGAATGAAAGCAGAAGCCAGAAACAAATTCTGTCTTACAACCTTAGTTTAAAAACTAAGCGATTTTCATTCTGGTGAGGATACGGAAAGGGGAAATTATAGCAAAGGCTGATATTATAAACAGCTTAATTTACATAATAATAACTATACATATACTTTCTTAACATCCTATATATATACTTTCTTAACATCCTGGTTTAGCACCTAAAATAATAGAAAGCATAATGCAGATACGCTATGACATATGATTTAAGTATATACACTGTTCGTATACATTTTTGCACATGGAAATTAAGGACCATTAACGACAAAAATAAAGGACCCGTTAAGAAATGGAAACTAAATAAATTCAATTAAAGATATTAGCTAAGCCTGAACTTCACTTTTGTGATAGCACCTAAGAATAAAATAGATCCACAGGAAGAATGCATTATCATTAAACATACTTTAATAAAAAAATAGTTATATAATGAATTTGAGAATAAAATCAACTTTATAAAACTTAGCAGGTAGCATTAAATATTTTACTCTTACAATAGCTGGACATACTTGAAAGATTACTGACATTTTATTTATGTTTTACTAGCAGTTAGCTTCGCTGATTTTTTTCTTTTTATGCCTCATTTTATCACGTAGTTGCTCAGTTTAGAGGTGGTTAATATATATAGCAGGTAAATTTTATGTCAAACGGCATAGGTTAAAATGAGAAGTAAAATCATAATCAGCATGATTCGTTACATAAGAATGGCTGTTGCCCCCCCAACTACTGCTTGCCTAGACAGATGCCGACTGATCAGAACACACCTGAAAGCCTGATGTAGGCACGATTGGCAAGCTTTGAAAGTTAGTTGTGCTTTGCCTATCTGACACAGTTATAATCTTGTAACTTCGTAAGATTCACAGATTCATTCAATGTAGAGTTCTTCCTGGGTTGGAATACAGTTAATATATTTTAAAGTTCCAATAAGCCACTAAAGCACCAGCGGCAATAAGTTGTTTTGTATCATGTCTCACTAGATGTGAAGAATTAAGTTTTACATTTTTGTGCTGTATCTTGTGACCACAGTAAAGATTAATTAAAGACAATAACTCACTTTAATTTGCAGAGATAACTTTTAAAAATGACCAATTAGTTACAATTAAACTAGCTAGTTTAGATACCCTCAGTCACTATAGATTTACATATCCACTATTAAAATCATAATCTATTAACACATTGCTGCTTAAAATGCATGTAATTTTTGACATTGATTCTTATATAAAGATAACTACAACATATTAAAAGCTACAAAACATTTACATTTTGTAGCAACAACATTATTTTGCTTTAAGCATCTTTTCTAACTATCAATCAATATGAAAACCAATATTCCCACTAGTTTCTGCTAGCCTGTCAATCTCTTGACTATATATATACCTTTGAAGTTTTACTTGATCTGATAAAAGATAAGTAGTCCAACCCCCCCCCCCAGACAGATGTGAAGCAAATTATCACTTTGACTGAAAGTAACTACACAGTCAGATTAAAGGTTTAAATAAACCTCTTATTTAAAAAGACAAATTATAAATATAAAGTTATGGTCTTATGCTAGCAAAATCAAACAGCTTATGGTGATCGAATTAAAAAAAAGTCAAAACTAAGAATGTGGGATTAGTACTCAAAGACTACACAATTTAATTTTAATCTAAGCTGGCTCAGTAACACGTAACAAATCTGCAACTTGGCCTAACATAGTTATCGCGTAACCAATTCAAATATCGGCAGCGATACGCAAAGACAAATGAATAATCACAAATTACCACAGCTGGTAGGAACTAATATAGAATGAAAGCAGAAGCCAGAAACAAATTCTGTCTTACAACCTTAGTTTAAAAACTAAGCGATTTTCATTCTGGTGAGGATACGGAAAGGGGAAATTATAGCAAAGGCTGATATTATAAACAGCTTAATTTACATAATAATAACTATACACACCTTTAAAGAATAATTTTCTTTCTCTTTACGGATTTGGTTACTTTCTTCAATGTTTCCTCTTTATTTTAAATTTTTTGGATTTAATTAAAGATTTCTGTTTTTCCAAAAAAAAAAAAAAAAAAAAAAAAAAAAAAAATGCATTAAAAAACGTATAGCTAATTTTATTTCTTCAGTAATATAACATTTAGAATAAATATGAAACGATATATGGTAAGGGACAGTTACAGAGATCGTGTAGCAGAATTTTTAGAATTTATGAATGCACTAGGCAGCACAATTTAGGATCCACAAAAAGTACATTAGGTGGGAAAATACGTAGTGCCAGCCCTGTATATGATGCACACAGCCGTAACTACGGTTTTCAGCACCCAGGGACAATTGAAGATTTTGCGCCCCCTTCTGTATGCCAAGAATGAAAAACATTTCATTCTAAAATTTTTGTAACATCAATTTGGCACCCCATGCATGCTGCCTCAAGGGACAGATGTGTCCCCTTGCCTCACCCTAGCTACGTCACTGATGATACATTGAGACATATAAGATGAATCTTTTAAATTGAATGTTTTCAATTTCTTTATTAATAGAAAAATTTCTTTCCATAAATGCCTGTCCATGTTATAAGATTAGAAGCATTTTTGATATTTTCTATGCTTGTGTCTAGTGGAAAGTAGAGAAAACAAAGAGAAGACTATCAGAAGTAAAACATTAAAATTTTATGTTTTCATAGTTCGTCCGAAAATTCTGCAAAAAAAAATAATTTCACCACAAACTTTCTGTAAAATACATTCATTACATGTTAATACCATGAAGACATTTTCCTGGAATCTTCTAGTCTATAAAGCTTGCCTTCAAATCCTTCTAGCTTTTCAAGTTGCAATATCTGAAATCTTACAGAAAATTTACCACTACCAATTCTGCAACAGGAAAAAAAAAAAAAAAAAAAAGAAAAAAGAAAAGAAAAGAAATATGTTGAATAAAAAAAATCATAGGGAAAAAAGTGCAAAATTGATTTCAGATAGAAAACTGATGCACATTGAGACGTTTCATTTTAATGTTATTTCTTGAATACAATTTCAACATATTAGCATTATTTTAATGAAATGGATCAATGTTATGTTTTAAAAAATATAGTCAAAAAATTCCCAGATTTCTGAATTAAAAATTTTCTATAGAAACCAATCTTAAAATTACCAAAATGTTGATAAGTCCTCAAAAATTTGGAACCATTTAATAAAGAATTCACATTCCCAAAAGCGAAAGTTGTTTAAGAGCTCTTCATTAGAAAAAATGAAATAATTTTGAAATGCGTATGTTTCACTTCTTGGTCAAAAGCTTGAATATTCCACCGTTTATATTAGAAAAAGGATAAATTATAATTCATGAAACTTTTCACTCATTCATTCAAAAGGTAACTATATTTTTCAATGAATCGCCAAAAATATTTGCCTAATATGCTAATTCACATTCAAACTGGCAGTCGTAGAAATTTCAAATGATAAAGTTTAAGGACCTCTTGCTAAATTCCATTTAATTGAGGATTTCTAAGGACCAAAAATCGATTCCAAAATACCTAAGGACTTTTAAGGACTCTCGAACCCTGTATGTAAGGTATTGGCAGTGCCTATATTTTGCATTAATGATACAATAGTTATCCAAGATGTCCATTCAGGGTTAGGATGGCATCCCAGATGAAAGCGTATTCTAAATTGAAATTGTGATATATAATCATCACTAGGATTTCCATCTCTCAGCATCGGTCAGTGTGTGACAATTTTAATCATCAAGCCGAAGATATCATAAAAGTACTTACCACTTTAATAATGCTGCCAATTCACAGGTGAAAATTCTTTTAAGCTGGGAAAGGACTGGTTTATTTGATTAAGGAACTAATCTGGCTAAGGGGCGAGATGCCTTATGGAGGACTTTATAAGAGAGGCTGGCTAGTATACACTCGTACACACGGGGAAGATCAATAAAATGCTCATGAAGCCAGCCTGTTTGGCTGTACTTGAATCCAGGTTGAACTTTGAAAGACTGACTCTCTGCAGTGTTAATTATTCCTAAATTAAAGACTCTGAAACTAAGCTCAAAGCATTTGTTCATACTTTGGCACCTTTTTTATAAACAACTTATCTTTTTCTGAATTAAAAGTCCCATATTAAAAGAAGCAATTCTTACAAGAGGTATCACTGACAAGACACTTAACAACTTCTTAAAATTCACATTTCGTTAATTTAAAAATTTATATGATGTTCTAATTTTAAACACTTTTCACAATCAGCATCTTTGTCAGATTAACCAAAAAAGGAAAAAGGACACAAAACTCCATACACACGTATCAAATATGTAAGAGCTATTATCGATTTTCTGCTCCCCTATGAAAAGTCACCAACTCACTGGTAACTATGAATTGGTGAAAAGGTTTCCTTTAAACAATGAACAGCATTTTATAAGAAACAAATTTTACCAAGGAAAAAAAAATCTGTAACCAATACTCACATTTTTACAATAAGCTCAGTTAAATATAAAACATGCAAATCAACATACATTAAAACAGGTACTTATGTTTTATTGCAACCACCTTAGTAAAATTCATCAAATTTTCAGAAGTTGCCAAACTCTGGCAACCATGAGCGTAACAGTTCTTTAGGTAATCATATTAAGTTGAATTTCAAAAATTCATTGAATAATTTTTTTTTTCCTGTAAAAAATTTCAAACTGCACCAAGGTGGTTTTGCTAATACATAAATACCCTAAAATGTGTGTTTACTGCATACATGCACAAGTCTGCTACTGCTGTATTTATATTATTTGAAATATGCCCAAAACAGTAATTCTACCAAATGTTTAAAATCATAGATGCACAATACTAATCAAAGTACTATTTTAAGGTATCTTGATTGATACTTGTAAATTTTACTTCTAAATGAAATGAAAGAAAAGTTGTTACCAAGTTAAGATGACATTAAAAATACATTTTTAAATAACAAAATTTTTACAGAAATGTTTAAAGAGAATTCATTTTGTTTCCAATAATATATATTCATAATTAAAAAACTTTCAGTTTAATTTTTCAGGGAGCTTAAAATTGCAGACGTGAAAGCCCTTCTCGCAATATTTCACATCGCATCCCCCTCACGGCTTCCAAAGTGGTAAATAACTTCATTTTAATGCACATTTTTGCAAATCTGTGTGAAAGGTAAAATAATTGTTTCTTGAAAGAAAAGTACAGCTTCATTTTCACTTGATAGTAAACTGAAAACTGTCAACTACCTGAATTTATAAAATGATTTCTTACGAAAGGAAAAAAAAAAAAAGGCGATTTCAGAATTTTTACCGTTTGGTTTTCATTATAATTATTTTGGTGATAAATGCTATCAAACATGGCAATTAATTGTTAGTCACCATTAAACATATCAATACTAATATCAAATAGAACTTGAAAAGGAAAAGATGAAAGTAATTAAACACTCAAAAAACAAACTTTCTACAGAAAAACATGCATTTGGTCCTTTAAAATCCCTCCATTAAACCTCCATTTTGTTGATCAAAGACACTGTAGAAAAAGTCACAAATAAAAAATGATAACTGGAATAAACAGAATAAATTTACCTTTTTATTAAGTTTCAACCACGTTGTCAAGCCTTTGCTGTCAGTGTACTGAAGACCAAAAAACCAAATTTCCCGCAATCCAATCGTCTTCACAACCTATAAAAATTTTAAAATATGCAAATTATGTTCATCATTTAAGTTAATGGAAACAGAACATAAGATAAGAGTACAGAAAGAATGATTCACAAAAAGAAATACAGTACAAAGTCCATAAAAGTCTCGTCGGGACTTTGGCGACTCCGGATTAGGGGTTTTTCCAGATTATAGATCATCAATTTAAATCTGGTAAGATGGCATGCAGAAATTACACAATTAAAAATACAAAACCGCAATTTATGAAATAAAGAGCAATTATGATCTAAAAAGTATAAAATTTACAAAAAAAAAGCTTAATATTTATTTATTTACTTTAGTAAACATTTCTTTCAATGTAAGTTGTTTAAGTTGCTTCGTTTTTTTGTGCTAATACTTTCTCTTTAATTCCATAAACAGACACAATTTCTTGTTCAGTTACAAAGTTCTACTGTTCAAGTCCTGTAATTGCCGTGTCGAGAATACCGACTAACTTGTCAATCAAAATTTTTTCGTTTTCAATAACGTTCTCCGTTACTTTCTTCATTCGGAAGCGCGCATGGGTAAACGCTTTACTGGCTTTACGTACATGAGTAGTGGACGGCCGCATCAAACGCGCATGCATAAGTTTGTGGCTTTGAGGTTTGGATTATAGATCATTCCGGATAATGAACGTTCGGATTACAGACTTTGTACCGTATTAAGTATTTTGTGTAAACACTTATCAATATATACCAGAAAATGCTTACTAAATGGGATGCAAAAATGATGCTGTAAATCTTAATACAATTGCCACCCATTTATAGAAATGACTAGAGTATCAGCAAAAATAAAAGCATCTCAAACTAACCTTCTATTTCATATACTCACAAAAAAAAAAAAAAAAAAAAAAATTCAATACAATATGAAATTTGTAAACACTCAGTTCAGAAAGGACAAATTGGCATAAATTGTCGATAGTTTATACAGGATGTCCCACTCAAAAGGAAACCCAAGAATAGTGTGATAAAAACCTTACAACAAGAGGAAATAAAATCAGATTTTTTACATGACATACCTTTATGTTTAGGAAATGAAAAAGTGCATAACAGGAGATGCTAAAAGTGATCTTCCTCACCTGTACACACAGTTCAACACAGCACTGCATGTTTGGCATTAGAATATTTGGCATCGCTGCCTGGATTTCACAGTGCATGTTCCAATGTAATTCATCAATATGGCAAAATTGTGTTTCTTGTGAAACAGTGTTGGATAAGTAGTTCCTTTATGACATGTCAGTGATTGTTTTTTGAAACATTTCTGAAACAGTGATAGTCGATACAAACCATCTGAACATTGTACTCAAGGCTTGCTGAAGAAGCTGAGCTTTGTTGGATCAACAAGGCAAGAGGCAATCAGTTATCTGAAGTATGGTTGATGTAAAGACAACTGTTAGCTTCCTCCCCAATCTTTGCAGCATTTATCGCAGGAATCTAGACTATCACATACCATGTATTGAAAAGCTACAAAAAAAGCAGGCCTGTATCCCTATAAGCTTACAGTTGTTCATTTGATACAGACTGGCCATAATAAAACCCTAACAAAGCACCATTGGTTTCAGCAAATTATCAGTGATTGCAGTACATATGGTACAGTGATGAAGCATGATTCAACTTGTCATGTTACATGAACTACCAAGACACACATTTATGGAATACTGACAACCAGCATAGTCATTGAGGAACCCTTTAAAAGATGGGTTATTCCAAGTATTATCACAGTCGCCAATTTAGTTTTTAACAACTGCCACCAATGAAATATACCAAGTACTGTTTTATGAATTTTGTCACAGTCCGATACGGAACTGACACTTGGCTGATGGCACCAGCAAGATGGGGACAACATGCCACATATCTAAAGCGATTATGGCTGCAGTGGAAGCATTTTTCCTTGATAGAGTATTTTAAAACATTACGGTCCCCCAAGATCATCAGACTTAACTCCCCTTAACATTTTTCTACAAGGTCACCTTAAATGCATACAAGTACAAACCATACATCATTGACAAGCTATGTCAGATCTATTGGCAAAAGAGGTGTTGGTTCAAAGTTGCATACTTTGAACTACCTTACTGGCTTCTGAATGAAATGTTTTTAGATTTTTTGCAGTCTGGATTTTTTTCCCCTAACCAATTTCCATTTTTTGCATGAGCAGGAAGATGCTGTATGCTCACTCTTGCAATTTATACACAGTGCTGCAACGATACAGTTTTCACTAAACACTGCGTTTATGTCAGGTTACCATAGCACAAGTTTTCAGAATGACCGAAATGAAGCATTCTATTGGGTTTAAGATATCCAGCCTTAATATGTTTAGCCAGATCAAGCGAGTTGAAGGTCTGGATCATAAGTTTTATGTTGATCAACTACCTTTCCTTCCCCTAGCAGCATAGACATTTTGACTGGCAAGCTTGGAAATGAACTCCATTTCGTAAACAAAGAGACTGACCTCCAAGATTATGTCTAAAAAAATTTCAGGATTTTAAGTGCTGAAACAATTACGGCCACTTGCCCACGTTTGAATATTTGAAGTAGCAAAGCAGATTGGGTGGCCAAAATCGCATAAATTAGCAGATCTCCCAAACATAGCTACTTTTGTTTCTCGACTCGCACCATACAATGCATGAATATGTTTATTACAAATAGAGACTTTTTTGCAGTTCACCAAAAGGCTAGATATTGCAAGAAAAACAGGGACTATTATTATATTCTCTAGCATTTGCGATGGAATGTATCATCTTGAAGGTACATGTACTGTATTCTGAACTTCATTGTTCTGGTTTGTCATCGTTATTACATTTATATCTGTGTTAGCCATATTGAAAGAAAATTCGAGTCCAACCAACCCGCCCAACAAAGGAAGACAGAATTCTGTGTTAGGGCTAGCCAGACCTATATGCAAACTGAAGCCCCACAATCAGCTTTCCCAAAAGCTTATCCTCAAGCCGCCAACACTAAAGTTGGGACACCAGCCGAATGACACTAGTGACGACAACTAAGCACCTTTCGTTTAGCTGAAGCAGACACCAAAGTAATATGTTGGGCTCCTTAACTACCTGGATAATCCTTTTCAATGACATAGATATCCACACACACTGCAAACACATGGGCATGCGAAAACTTAAAAGAAGAGTTCCTCTCTGAAGAGGAAAACCACAAGGAAGAGAAAGAGAGTAAAGTGGTAGCCAAGAGAAGGGGAAGAAAAAAAGGAGGATAGATCACTGGGGCTCCAGGATCGTGACACTCATCTCACCTAGACGATGATCCTCTAAAAAGATAGGGTCATTAAGACTGAAGGCATCATTCAAAGTGTAGAATAATTCCAGTCCAAGAATAGATTCCTGAAAGATAGCTTAGCATAAATTTCTTTGCTTTAAGAAAGGTAATTTCAAAGTGAGAACAGCAGAATCTAACAAATATCTCCAAAATTTGAGACTACAATCTATCCACATATTTACCTTAGATAATGAAACTATATTTATTTAATAAGTTGAACATAGTCTGTCAACAACAAGAGACTTGACCTTGCCTGTTAGGAAGATAGTTAAAAATGAATGAACCTGAATTCAATTATTACAGAGCATGAGTTATTAGTCTCATTTACCTACAGATGCTGGGATTACTTAATACCACATGATGTAGGTGTGGCCAAGTCTTCTCATAACAGACATGTACATATAACATACAGTTCAACCTTTTCATTTTTTCCTTCCAGTCATCATTAATTCTGAATTAACAGCAAAAATCACTATCAAGAACAGAAATATATTTCAAAACAGATCTTGAATTTCTCCTTATATCTGAAACTTCCCAACTTTGCAATAAAAAAATATATAAATAAATTTGGTTTATTTGTAGGATCTGTTCACATAGCTGAATTTTTCAGTATATTTTCTGTTAGCTTATGAATTTGAATAGGTAGCTTTCTAGAATGCAAGGATAAATCTGAAGCCAAGCATTTGCGTCGTAATTCTCAATTTAGATGTCCGACAGTCAGCACAGATAAATGAATTGAAAGAAATTAAAATGGTTTATTTACACTTAAAAAGTCATGAAACTTTGTAAAATTTTTCTTCCCTTTGAAAAGAAATATTCTACAGATAATATTACTTCTATAACATTTGCAAAAATTCAAAAGCTCATTTGAAATAATGAATTGTTTTCATAAACAGAGATACTAATTTCAATAGAATTTCTCAAGCAGTACTTCACACACACCTTTTTAGTGCAAAGCACAACATCATTTATGAATCAAAAATAGCGACACTAAATTTCTTCACATGTAAAGAAAAAATAGATTCTTAGAGATTCAAACATAGTATTTTATAATACTATAAAAATGTAGTTAGGAGATCAAATGAAAAGTTAAAAAAAAAAAATTAAATAGAGGCCAACAGCATTATGTTTCAGAAAAATGAAAAGTACCAAACACAGTTAAAATTATCGTTACTGTTACACTAAAAAATGTATAAATAAAACATTAGGTAACTAATGTTTTCTTAGCTAAAAATCTAGATTTGAAAATGCAGATTAAGTTATACATCGTCTATGTAAGTAAATTCTTTCTGGGATCATAAGGAGAGTTTTGAATTTAGAATTCCATGTAATAAAACAGTTACATAATTTTAATTTTTAAAGCTTTTTAAGGCAAATATAAATGCTTCTCGAAAATAAGTACATTATTTTTTTTAATTGAATTTTTCCAGGAAAGTCGAACAATGAATCACAAAGCGAAACATACTAATCAGGCATTTAAATGAAATACTGGAATAAATTTTCATACACATAATTTACAAATGCGGTTTTCTTATTACCAGCTTTTAATATATGTAATTATAAATTCAATTGGTACTTACGTATTATCGCAACCAGGTTGGCGCGATTTGCAAGTTTGAGTAAAAAAGTATGAATAGAAAGAAAATGTACATTTATTAATTAGATAATTTTAATACAGTTTTTTATATTATTTTGTTTTAAAATATAAAATAGCAATTAAACCCTTCCAGTTTCGAATTTGAATAAGTTGCAGAATTATTTTTTCGGCGGAAATCTTTTGGCTATTGCTTTTAGCACTGATTGAAAACAGTCTTCGCCATATTTCGCTATTCTGGGATATTTTTTAAAGTGAAAATTGATCGATGTGCACATGGGCAAGCCAATGTGGTGCGCAATGCCGAGTTTGTGCAATTCTGGGATGTTTTTTTAAGTGAAAATTGATCGATGTGCACATGGGCAAAGCCAATGTGGTGCGCAATGCCGAGTTTGTGCAATTCTGGGATGTTTTTTAAGTGAAAATAGATCGATGTGCACATGGGCAAAGCCAGTGTGGTGCGCAATGCCGAGTTTGTGCAATTCTGGGATGTTTTTGAAGTGAAAATAGATCGATGTGCTGCGCGATGCCAAGAGACCAAAATTCACATAAATCGCTAAATTTGGCGATTTATGCGAATTTTGGCCTGGTTGCGTTAATACGTAAGTACCATTCAATTTTTATATGACCAACTTTTGTTAAAATAAGCAATAAAGATCTACAAAATATTTTTTTCTGGTTTCCTTAATACAGTCACACACCATCTGCAATAATTGCTACAAGTATAGAAATTCTCATGGTTTAGGAGCTTCGTAATATTTATTTTCGAAGACAATAAATAATCTTAAGCTCTTACAAAATTTGGATCATTCTCATTATATTATTCTGAAGAAAACATAATAACAGGGTTGCCACTCAAACAGGAGAATGAAATTCCCTGACTTTTCCAGGTGTGTTTCAAGAAAATTCCAATCTATCTGCGTAATGCACGTTGGCTGTGCTAAGAAGTAAGTTAATTATGATATTACTTGAAAACACAAAAATTTGCCAATTACATATAACTTGTATCCCCTAAGCATTACTATTATAATTATAATAGTTGTTTTCTCCACTGAAGATCGAGATTAGAATCTGCCCAATCTGGAATAAAAAAAAGGCCTTTTTTGCAGACATTTTGCAGCTAAATGAAAGAAAGAACTCTATTTAATGTATGTTTTAATAAATTGAGGTATTTTACATTTATTTCGCAGCATACATAAGCAAAAAATATGTGCATTAAATTTCATGATGGTTTCATCATACTGCTAGAATTAATTTTAGGATTATGCCAGAGAAAGTTTCCTGAAATCTGGAATTTACTAATAATAAATTTAGAGGGAAGAAGCAACATTAACCTTTTAACTGTCATGCCCAAGATAATCTCGGGCACAGCACTGGTGTTCGAAAATGTCACGCCCGAGTATTACTCGGGGTAATTTTTTTTTTTTTTTTTGAATGCATCGTATTGTTATACCCGAATATATATCGGGAGATGTTTATTTCTGCTTCATCTCTTTGTCAAACCCGACTGTATCTCGGGAAAAGTTAATGTGCGCTCAGTTCAATAGATGACAGCACTTTACTGGAGATTTCAAAGGTTAGAGGTTATAAGTTCTTTGGTTCAAAGTGCATAGGATCTTTTTGTTGTAAAATGGCATCCAGTTCTTTGAAACGTTATATAGATGATTTAGATTCTTCAACCGAAGATGAAGGATGTGTGTTTGATGAGCAGTATTCATGATACTTCCATGGTCAGCCTCAAAAGAAAAAAAAAATGAAGATATACTCAAGCCGAAGATTGTTTCTAATTGCAGTCTAACTATGGGTGGTGTAGATCGCTGTGATTAGGAAATATCCTTTCATCCAACAATCCGAAAACGTCAGAAAAAATATTATAAAAAGATATTTTTACATTTACTAGACAAGGTACTTGGAACTCATATTTGCTCTATAAAAATGTAGTTGGGAAACGTATTACATTTTTAGAATTTCGAATCCAAGTTGTAGAAGAGCTTTTACATAAATATGATGATGCAGCTTCTGGACAAAAGAATGTTGGCAGACGACCTACAATAGATAACCCTGCCCGTCTTACCGAACGACATTTTATATCCCATATTCCTTCTACTCCTGTGAAACGTGAGCCTACAAGACAGTGCAAGTTCGAAAAAGGATAAAAATGGGGAAAATATAAGAAAGGAATCACGATTCTGGTGTAGTGATTGTGGAGTTGGTTTGTGCTTGGAAAAGTGTTTCCAGTTGTACCACACAAGACTGAATTACTGAACTACTAATAGGTATTCACTTATATTTATTTCTTTTTTAGAAAATAATAAATTTTTTTCATTTTTAGAAAATAATGCTCCACTAGAAGCAAACTTTACAACTGCCATGTTGAGTGGCAGCCGCCTCAAGCAAATATGCAGTGGCTACAAAACTTTAAAAATTTTACCCATGTACTTCAAAATATCAATTTTTAACTACTTAAGAATATTTTATTTTGTACTAAACATTTGATTTTTGCAATAAAAAATTTGACAATTTGTGTACCCAAATCATCAAAAAATAACTTGACAGTAAAAGGGTTAAATAATAAGAATAACATAAATTGAATTAGAATAATTAACGATATTTTAGCGAATATAGTTATATTACATGGTTAGCCTAGATGACCGATTACTATTTTTTTTATTTTACTCCAAAATGAAAAAAGCATTTATTAAAAAGAAAAAAAAAAAAAAAAAAAAGAAAAAAAGGTTTAAAAGATTTTTCGGTAAAATTCTAGTATAAGAAAAGGCCTTGGCACAATTTTGAAAATCCCCAAGACCAAAATGACCCATTTACTGCTCATCATAATGTCGCCAAATCCTGTGTATACTGTACATGGAGGTTATTTTCAAAGAAAGTCAATGTAAAAAAGAAAAGGTTCCATAGACGTAATGCTATTATGCCGCTAGAAAGTACAGAGAAAATTTGCCAAGGGATTGCTGACGGAACCTGGCAGCCAGAATTTCCTTTTCCGCGGTGTGTACAGGAAATTGAGAAACACGTGTTAAGAAGAAACGTTCTTTGACAAAAAAGAAAACTACGAATATTCATTTTTAAATTCTTGCAAAAAATCCAAAAAGAAACGTTTTGTCAAAGAACATTACTTCTTAGATTTTTCGCAATAATTTAAAAATGGAATTTCGTAGTTTTTTTTATTCCCCCCTCAACTTTTCCATGTTTTGACAGATATTTAAATTCCCTGACTTTTCCTTGAATTTTTTGGTCAATTTTCGAATTCCCTGACTTTTTGCGGTTCTCCAGGTAGCATGACTACCCTGATTATAACTGATTTAAAACTATCTGTAAAAAAGCCATGCAACAACCAAAAATTCCCAAGACCTGAAAAATACTGGAGGAAAGTGCAGAATCACTCGCTGCTGGGTGCGATTTTAAAAATTGCACATACTCAGTATCTATGTACACATCAACCTTTTTTAGTTAAAAAAACATCGCAGAATTGCACAAAAATGGCCTTGCGTACTCCCTCGACTTTATCCATATACACAACAACCTATTTTCACTTAAAAAGTAAAAGAAAATCAAAAATCCAATTCTTCTTACTCTTGTAAAAAGCATCAAACAAATAAGTGGGCGATTCTGCACTTTACCCAAATACTGACCATACTTAAATATGTCTCATGCTAATAATGAAACACATTACACTTTTTAATATGCACTACATATCAAAAATCTAGACTCGCTAATAACTGCAATAAAAATTACTAGATCACACTGTATAATGTTTATTACAACGTGAATTAATATAAAATCATAACCTTATAAATCCAATCTTTTGTCCGACACCCTGTGTATAAAGCGAGATAGAAAAGTACATTAAGAATTCAAAATTCATCATAGATGCCTCAAATATGCATACAACAAAATAACAAATATCATACCTGATCGAACAACTGTTTTCCAGTGGTGTTGGGTTGGATGGCAAATTCCAACTCAGCATCCATGGTAATGACACGAACATTTACCTGAAAAAATGCAAAAATAAAAACATAGGTTATACAATCTTACATGACTCTCCATAACTTATTTTTCCAGTGTAAGCTTTTATTACTTTTTATACAAATAAATAATTGATACTTGTAAAGGTAAAATATAGAATTACATGAACTTACTGGTTTAGGCATTTTGGCTTAAGATTTATTTTCAGTATTTACCTAAAAGTAAAAAACAAAATTAATACATTTGAACAATTACCGTTAGAAGTCTGTAAATAAAAAAGAACAATGGATGACCTTAGTTTGTGAGACTAAGCACTTACGTTTATCAACGACAAACTAAATTTCATTCATACCAACATTTTGTAGGTCTTATCTACTTTTATGACTTGTCTTTTACATAACATAGTAGCAATACACATATTTTTATCAGTACCTGGCTATCTAAAAGTTTTAAATGCTACATAGCAGACAACCATATATTTGTCACACTATCTCTTTATAACCCTGATGGTCTGTTTCATGGCCTAATATTAACTGAAACACACATAATGAATATGCAAGTCTAACATTATTAAAAGCCTATTCCTATTACTAAAATTTAAAGACATATGAAGCTAAATGAAGGGAAAATGTACAAACCTGCAGACATTATACATACATTCAACATATACAATATTTATTATTTTTATTTAACACACCTGAAAAATAAACCATCTTTGTAACCAACCATCCCTGAAATCTCAATATGTAAACTACTATTGTTTCATAAGAAATGCTAATTATGGTTCATTCCACATTTCTTGACCTGTTACGAATACTACTAAATATTTGATCTCTAAAACAGCTATGTAAATATAATTACTAACTTGTATTACAGTTATATCATGAAGCTACATTTTTTAAGAGTTTACTAGCATATTCTGGATATTTTGTTCTACATTTGGTTTTTAAACTGAATCATTTATTTAACTGCTTTAAAATTAATGAATTTGTAATCCACAAAGTCCTGACAAATAAAAATCAAAGGGATATTAATATTTAAAAAATAAATTTTTAAACATCTTTGCATAAAAAAATTAAATTACAAAATCTACTCTGTACAAGTTTAAGAACCTATAAGTTTAAAAATATTTTGGTTAAAGTGCAGAATCGCCCACTTACTTGTTTGGTGCTTTTTACAAGAGTAAGAAGAATTAGATTTTTGTCAATTTTCTTTCGACTTTTTAAGTGAAAATAGGTCAATATGTACATGGATAAAGTCAACGTAGTGTGCAATGCCATTTTTGTGCAATTCTGGGATGCTTTTTTTAAGTGAAAAAGGTCGATGTTTACATGGCTACAGAGTATGTGCAAATCAAACACGCCAAGCCAGTGGGTGATTCTGCACTTTTCCAAATATTTTAGTTTAGTTACTGCTATACTATACCAGAAATGCTAATTGTCAAAATGCTAGATTCTCTCCCTTGACAGAGAATAACGATAGTAAAGTTAAAATATTGCGATTATTGACAATAATCGTTTATATATACATACAGCAATATGTCACACAGTCTGGGTAACGATTTCAACTATCCTGGACTGTTTGAAACCACACTAACCAAAGAACTATACTGAAAGGGGGAGAGATAACTCGTTTATAAAAAAATTCTCGATTTTCAATACTAAAATCCAATTTGTAAACTCGAATGTTAAAATAAAGAATGTTTTAAAATACATTTTTTACTTTCTATAAATTATGATATTGGCATCTATGCACTTTTCTTTTTTCCTTCATTCATTTCTTAATTACAACAATGCTTATGATTCAGTGAACGACATAAGGCTACATTCAATACTGGGTTCGGCTCTAGTGTAGAATTGGGTGCCCCTTCGATTGGCGAGAATTTTTTTAAAATTTTGGCGATGAAACCTCATTTCTGGTCACCACGATAGTTTTAATTTTTGTTTCAACTTCCCGATTTTATTTAAATGAAAATAGATTGATGTGTGCATGGGCATATTTAAAGCAGTATGCAAATCCTAGTTTGTGCAATTCTAAGATTTTTTTTTAAAGTAAAAACAGATTGATGTGTACATGGAGACAGATCTTGTGCAATTCATAGACTTTTTTTTTTTTTGTTTGTATAACAGCCATCTTGAAATTGTGCCTCACTGGCACCGATCTTGGCGTCAAAAAAGAATCGCCAATAAACAAGGGGCACCCAATTGTAAACTTTTACCCTGGGTTCAACTTTGTCTGACAAAACAAACTATTCCAATATTTTTTTAAACAAGTCATTCAGCAATTAATTTTCAGTAGGCACTTCAACACAGCTATCATTGTTTATGCTGCTCTCGTGTTCTGCTTAAGCCCATAAGTGTTAATAAAGCAGCATTAAAATAAATTTTGCTAAAGATACTACTCACGATGTACTAAATATATTTTTTTTTTGAAGTTATGTTTATTTTGTTCAAGTAAAACTTAGCTCGCTCTGAAATTTTCAAACAAGACAAGAGTGAACCTGGACTGATCTTGTGCAATTCTTTGTCAAACTATGCGAGGTATTGCTGTATACATATAGAATATCCAGCATAGTGAAAGGAATGTTACTAAAACTATCATTATACATTAAATAAAGCCGAGTAAATGAAATACATGAACCAAAATATCCTGACTTGTTTTATTTAAAAGCCTTAAGTTAACTACACAAAATTAAATTTAATCTACATGTCTGTAAGTGAAAGCCAACCTACTAAATTACTTAAATTACTAATTTACAAGTTGTGTTCCAAATATAAACACTCTACTGTCAGATCAGCGACTCAGCTAAAGTTCCATATGCTGGCTTATTTACTTTCAAAAAAGATGTGCATCAATTCTCTATGTGATATATGGCTTGTTTATGAAAGTATTTTCTTTACGATACAATATATTGAATGGGTATATGAAAGCCTTACAACCTTCAATATTTTACATCTAAATAAAATATCTGGTAATTTTATATTTAACTTTTTTATATCAAAATAGTTTTACTGTAATTTTTTTCATTAAAATTACATAATGGAATTTCAAAGAATAAAAATGCCGTTAACTAATTCAATACTAAGCATGTACTCGTATTCAGTACATTCACTAAAACTAATTCAGTACTTAATTCGTCAGGAATAAAATCCTACAAATGACAAACAATAAGCATTTAAAATTCCATAACATTAATACTAGATTGACATAACTGAAGTATGTAATATTAAAGCTTTATTTGTGCTTCTATAATATAAATATTGAATCAACATTTTGAGAGTGAGGAGTCAATTATGAAAATATTTAATATCCAATGCTAAAACAATATTGCCAAGATCCTTCATTTAACAAATTCATAAAAACATACAAGTTTTCTAGCTTTTAAAAACACTTTTAAATTAATCAAAAAATAGTTCTTTTTTAAATATCAGATGATTCATGCAATAAAAAAATTAAAGAAATATTTAAGGGTAGAAATTTAATTTTCACGAACCTTACAAATAGCAATAATATAAAGCAGTTAATTTTAATAGTTCGAGAAATAATTTGACAGTTGAATTTTTCATAAAACATACATAAATTACGCAATCTTTCTACAAAAATTTTATATATAAAACAATTTTTTTTATGAATCAATTTCTCAAAATTTATATATATTTAACCATCAGATTAATTCATTACATCAAAACGTATTTAATACAAGAGCGGCAAAAATTTGGACACATTTAAAACATACGAAAGTTAAACTTAAAAACAAATTTATGTAATAAAAGTTTATAGTAATTATACACATGACATATTACACCTAATATTATTACTCTGTATGGAACTGGAAATACTCTAACAACTAATTTTATTTCAAAAACTAGTAAAACGCCCATACGTGTATTGCAGCCATCATCATAAGCCTACCAAGGGCGGCGCTCAACATACCTGATTTCACCTGTATTAATAACACGTTACGAGATGTCGACAGTCTCAGTATTTATTAATATATCGAAAACAAACCAGCAGTTAAATGCAAACTACGAATGAACGGACAAACAAACATAATCTCAAAATACGGAGATTTTTTCCGAGGTTTGAGGGGCTGAGTCACACTGACCACCACTACACATCCGGCGAAAATTCCCACTATTTACTCTCCTCAAAACTCTACAGGAAACATTGAATATCAAAAAATTTCATTCTTTGAAAAGCACATTAGAATTTAAAAAATTAATATAAACATAACACTCACCAACTATATCAGTTAAATGTCCAATGCACGAAATTTCGGTGGACGAAAACCGCCACACGCCACACAAAATGGCCGTTTACAAGTCAAACAGCAGAATATGAAAGAAAGTTTTCTCCTGATGCCACCGCACTTATCAAATATTCTTCGTTTGCATTTTGTTTCATCTGTCAAATCGTCAACACATTGTCATGACATACCAAAGTCAAAATATACTTTTCACAAAAGATATTAATACTATTTGATTAAATTTTTATGTGTATTGAATTACATCTCATAAGTGATCAAAGAAGACTGAGCGCTTAAAATTATTAAAAGCATAAAAGAATGTACCTTAATGTATTTTTTGAAAATTAATTAACCCATATATATTCAAGATTTCCGGAAATGATCTATCCCTTACGTTTTGCGAAGAATTTCATACTCAGAAAGAATCTAACCAAAATATCAGGGCCCATTTCAAATTCTCCAAGCAGATTTGCATTCCTCATATAACAACATATAACAATTTTTCCAATTAAAATTAACATTCAGAAAGAAAATTATATTTTCTGGTCCATATAAAATCTCCATACAGTCCATATTTGGATTTAATGAAGCACATCTTTTTACATTAAATATATTCTGAAACTTAAAATATAAAATCAATAGTAAGTTGCTCTTCCCCTCGCAGATAAAGCTATAAGGGGATTTCTTCATAATGGGTCAAAATATTTGAAGAAACTGATTTTCTAAGTAGTTATTAAAAGCAATTTGACAGTCTGTACGCGTTATTATATCGTATGTTTCTAAATTTCATTTGCAGTATATTTAATAACTCTAAATTAATTCTGTTTTTTAAAATAAAACATTAATCCATATTATTTTAGAAAATTTTACTCAGTCCTCAAATCTAACGAGGAATTTAGATTTATTGATCTTAGCAAAAAGGGCTGCTTTTTACTTAGAAGAAGAATAGTCACAGTAATATGTATACTGAGATTTTATCGGCACCTTTACTTGCATTCTTGTTTATAATTGCATCACTGGAAGTTTCTGTTTTTGTTTTGTCTAACTGTTGATCAATGGCGCCATTGTTGAGTAAGCGATGATTATTATGCTTACAATAATTAAAAATTGGCTTCATAACACTTTCAGTTTATTGATATTGCTTTGCGTTTGCCGGATTTTTCTTGCTTTTCGTGAAGTTCCTTTTCAGTGATATGGAAACCTGAAGTTTTCTGTACAAGAAGGTAAGATTTTTGTATTTTCCATATGATTTTTAAATGTGAACGAAATATGTGTATCAGTGAGATGTTAATAGCGTTTTAATTGTTACTCATAACCAGGAACGTAGCCTGAATTTCCATAAAGGTATGCTGCTGAACACCAAATGTTTCGAAAATTATATTAACAAATGAAAATTAGAATTACATGTATTGAAAAGTTTAATATTGTTTTTGCGTATTAATATGCTGTTTTTAAGGTCTGATTTAATTTTTTAAACTCATAGTAGTGGTCAGCCATATATAAAACTACATATGTAGTGGTGCGTGAAGTTCTAAGGATTGACGACCGCTGCTTTAGAACACTTTTTGGTAGAAAATCATGTGGTTATTTTAGAACAGTGGTTCTTAACCTGGGGTGCCCGCATCCCTCGGGGTGCGGGAATGTATTTTTGGGGAAGCGGGAGAAGCCCGTACCTAACCATAAAAATTGTTAAATATCATTTATTAAATTTCTTATAATAAAATATTTGAAATCTGCAATATTATTCCAATATTGAAGCTCGTTAAAATTGGTAACACCTAGCTCACTTATCGGCAAAAGACACAGGGAAGAGCCGGTGCCGATGGGCGCATACGCTACGCTACGAAAAGGCATGAAACGCTACAAACGAACGCGAACAGGCAGCTAGGTGCCGGAGAAAAGAAAAAACTTTGTAGGGATACAAGCGGAGAACGTTATCCCAGCTTGCGCATGCGCTGAGCTCTATATGTGCTACTCCAATGGAATCTACGGATTCACAGATTTGTATCTGCATCTACTGCGCCTGTGTTAGGTTGAGTCAAGTTGAGTCAACTATTGTGTCTGCGACATGTGTATTGTGTATTCTGACTTGTCCAGAAACCTCTTGAGACTAATACATTCTTAATTGCCCGTTCAAGCCGAATAGGAATCAGTGATATTACAAACGTAAGAACATTATGTTTATTATATTACATTATTTCTAAATAATTAAATCGATTATAGTGAACCCCACTATTTTAAAAAAAAGACAATGGACCGATAAGTATGCCGGTTATGGATTTACCTGCACAACCGAAAGAGATGGCACGCTACGACCGCAATGCATCTTGCGTTCCAAGATATTTTCAAACAGCAATCCAAACCATCAAAGTTAATAGAGCACTTCAACAATCTGCATGGTGGCGAAAAAGCGCATAGCATGAACAGCTTTAAGTCAAAGAAGGCTCGGTTTGATACCAGTGGAACTATCCTAAAATTGTGCGGACCAGCAATTCAAAAACCTTTATTAGAAGCGTCATATCAAGTGGCATATTTATGTGAAAAAAAACAAAAAAAAAAAAAAAAAAAAAAAACCTCACACGATCGCTGAAGAGTTGATTAAACCTTCTGCTTTAATTATTGCTAAAACAGTTTTAGATTCGGAAGCACATAAAATAAATCCAAAAAATTCCATTATCGAATGATATTATACGATCGGGAATACAAGATCTCAGTGAAGATATCTTAATGCAAGTAATTGAAGACATAAAAATCAGTCCACTAAAAATAAGCATGCAACTGGATGAGTCAACTGATGTTGATAATTGTAGCCAACTTTTGGTATTTGTCAGGTATGTGAAGGAAAAAGAGGTGATAGAAGAATTTTTATTTTGTGAGCCACTGGAGGTGAATACGAGAGGAATTGATGTTTTCAATCGCATCAGTTGACTCATCCAGTTGCATGCTTTTTTTAGTGGTTTTATTATTCAAGACTTTTTTACTAAATATCAATTACGAATAAATGTGATTGGCTCAATATGCACTGATGGAGCCCCAGCAATGTTAGGCAAAAATTAAGGATCTTTTTCACACATGAAAAGAGAATTACCGGAAGTTATAATAACGCATTGCATGTTGCATCGTCATGCACATCGTCATGCACTTGCGTCGAAAGCATTGCCAGAAAGTTTAAAACAACATCTAACTACAGCAGTAAATGTAGTAAAATACATCCGAGGGCGAGCGCTTAATCATCGCATTTTTCGTGCATTTTGCGAAGAAATCGGTGCTGATCATACCGTGCTCCTATATCACATCGAAATACGATTGTTATCTAAGGGTCGCATGTTTAACAGAGTTTTTGAATTGCGTGAGGAAATTATTCAATTACTGACTAGTCGAAACTGTTATTTAGTAAAAGATTTTGAGAGTAATGATGCAATGCTGAGGCTGGCCTACTTAGCAGACATATTTAGCCATTTAAATGAATTGAATCTATCAATGCAAGGATTTGGTATAAATATAATAATATCTAGTGAAAAATTATCTTCATTTATCGCAAAATTAGAAATTTGGATACGTCAAAAAAGGAACCTTGCTTCGCCAGATAATAATGAACAAACAACAACAGACTAGTCATTAAATAAAAATAATATTGTTTTGTATTTATATAAAATGTACAATGTTTTTCAATAAACAATAAGTTTCGCAAAAAATGTATTTTTCTAGACTAAAAAAATTAAAACACATTTTTTAATGGGGTGCGGAGATATATTTTCAGATTCAATGGGGTGCGACTCGCTAGAAAGGTTAAGAAGCACTGTTTTAGAAGGATTATGAATGAAATATGTTCGCGCCTCAGAACTCTGAGGCTACAGTTTGAAAATTTTTTTTCAATGATAAATATAACGAATTTTCGTAAATTCTTGATTCTTTCCATTGCGGTTTTGAAAATAGCAAATTCACATTGAATGAAACAGAAGAGTTAATTTAACTCTATTGACACAGAATTTAAAACGAAATTTCAAGCAGAAGATGTTACCTTATTACCGATATATAATGAATTACTAGTGCTTTAAAATTATTATTCAATTTGCCTCTGCTTATCTGTGTAAGAAACCCCCCAGACAGTATAGTAGTTAGGGAAGCCTGACTGCGATACCAGAGGGCCGAAGATTTCGAATCCCTGAGAAGGTATGGATGTACAATGTTTTGGCCCTTCAATAGGAGGTAACGGTAGCCGCTTATTAGATGCCTCCACAATAAAATTTATGGCCTTAGGAGCGGCCAATGCTGTTATAGGCAAGTACCCGCTATTTGTGAAAAAACAATCTGTGTAAGAAAAGGGTCTTCGTCACTAACTAAAATCAAAACAAAACACCCAAATTGACTCGATGTATGTGCCATTCTCAGATTTAAGTTTACCAGCATACCTGTGAGCATATACAAGAATTGGCAGGTTCATCCAAGTGGATAATGTGAGTACCCATATTTATTAGCCCAAAAGGGTTATAAGTATCGAAACGCGATTTTGCGTTGTTTCACTTTTCATTCCAGTTTACTGCCATTCGGAAAAACATAAGCTATTATTTCACCTGTCTTTTATTATTACTAAATTAAACTATTGAAAAGCGAGAGATGAAATTCTTAAAAATATTTTTTATTTTTTTACTTTTTAATGATTGATATAAATAAAAAATACACTTAATTCATGATGCATCTGATTAAAAACATTAAATACTTTTTACAGAATTACATTGCACGTTTCTTCACTCTTTAAATATGTACAGAAGATAGATAACGTTCCCATATTAATCGAAGTGCATATCCATGTAACATCTTATAAAATTTTGGACCATGTCAGGTGATAACCGCTATTGATAAATCATACTAAACTTTAAAAGAACCCTTTTGGGAGATCCCCTTACAGATGTTTTCATTTTTTTAAAGTTTTATTTAATAAGATAAAGGTTATCCAAAATCCTAATACCCTTATTAAAAACAAAAGCAGCTGTTCTTCTGCTAACTTAATTGTTAATATCAATATAAATTTAAATGAATTTTAATTAATTCCATTCTTAAAAATATAAGTCTACTGGTAGCAACATATGCTAAAAAATTGCTTTTGAAGAAGACAAT